CTCTCCAGGAGTTCCTTGGGCTAGGCCTGACATCAGTCTTCTCAGACTGGCCAGCAGTTCCCAGGAACAGGAATTCACTATCTCCTGTAATGTTAGGGGGGCGTCAGCTTTCGCCTCTTATCTCCAGTGCGTTGCTCTGGAGACAAGATCATGTTCTTTACCCCCCTTCCAGTCCCATGCCATTCCATCACACTAGGGCTCCTTTCCAGCTGATCAGGAACCTTGGGCTTGAAGTAATATTTGCCTGGTATAAAATATGTTTAACCAATCAGACTGATATTTCCCTATCTGCATTCCCAGCTGGAGGCCATGTCTTTAGCACCAGCCAGCATGCAAAAGAAAACATGTACCATTTTAAATGCCTGGGTCCAAATCCAAGGGACTCCAGCCATGAATTAGAGTTACCACCTCTTTCTTTCTGACCAGTTCCTCAATTTTAACAGTAGGCAGATGCAACTTATTCTTTTCCAAGCCAAGAAGAGCTAGCTGGGTCTATGGGATTTGGCCAGGGAAGTTGGGTGAAAATTGAGTCTGGTTTGTTCTAAAAATCCAATCAAAACTAGGATGGAAAGAACATGAGCATTTTTCTTTCTAAAAAGATGAATGTAGGAGTAGGTAATTTGTCCATTTCTACAGATGATTGGCAGGGACCACTGCTTTCCTGAATTAGAGTCCCAGCACTGAAAAAGAACTCAAAATTCATCAAATTCCAAACACCAAACTCCAGCCAAAGCAGGAAAGGTACTACTTTAGCATTCCTGGTAGGTGGCACTCCACCTTGGGGCAACAACACTTGCCATTCACTCCCTGTGAAGTGGAAGTAGTGACCAGCCGGGCTTCTTCTGGTGCAGCTGTCTTTCCTTTTCCTAGCTTAGGAGCAGCCTCCCAGTTCTCAGCTGGTTGCATATACTTGGCTTCCATCTCTTCCACCCAATCAGTGCTCCATTCCCACACAGGAAGGGGCTGGGATCCAAGCCTCTGCTGCACTTCTTCAGAGCTCTTCACGGAAGCCTGAGGATGCAGGAAGCCATCCAGAGGAGATACGGAAGGCAAAACATCTGCAAGGAAGGCGAGAACAGGCATGTGATCACAACTCTTTTCCATGCACGAGAAGGTAAGAAGGAGAGCTTCCAAGAACCCAAACAAACTGTGAAAACTAGGATATGAAGCGATGCCATTCGGATTAGGATGGAGAGAGCCAAGTCCAAGTCCTCATTCTGCCATTAAGCTTATGGATTGATTGAGAACAAGCTACTCTCTCTCAGCTCAGGAAGCCTCACTGGGTTATTGCAAGAGCAAAATTAGTATGTCCACCACCTTGAGCTTCTGGAGGACATAAAAGCAACAAATAACTATAATGGTCCGTTATAGCTCAGGAAAGCTTCAACCGTCTGTTGTAAATGCACCCAGGGGAAACACATGGTATGTACAGAAATAGGCATTATTTTGTTCAGCCTTCAACAATCCAATGACCTCAGGACTGCAAGTCCCAACATTCCCAGCCAGAGATGCTTTAGAACAATCACAGTGTTGGGCAGGAACACTCTAGCTAATTTACAAGGTTGACCAGGATTCTTGGAATAACTCCTGAAATGGGGGAAGTGCTAAATATATGGAATATTTTGGACTACTACAAATAGTTCCTCTATTTCTAAGGAGCGTTTCATACAGAACATAAATTCATGTCAGCAAAGAGACCGGGTAGAAATAACAACAACTGCAAAGTACCTTGAGTCTCTATAATGGATTCCAAATGGATATATGTGTGCATTTCAGGGAAATGATCAACAGGGTAAAATTCAAGTCACAATTAATTTATAGCTAGGACATTACAGACGCCTGAGGCTTTCAGTTCATCCTTCCATTCCACTGATGGCCTTCTGTCTGCAGCTGAACACCAACTGGATACCATCATGTCTTATTATTGGCTTCATTTTCCTTTGTTTGGGCTTTGCTTAAACATGTGAACCAATCCATTGTTAATATATAGATGGGGAGATAATGGCGCACTTGTCTGCATTTTGCAATGCCATTCTTGGGCCAGAAGGAAAAAAAAATGCAAATTTATGTTTTCAGGGAAAGGTGTTTTTAGGGAAAGTTACCTTAGATTTAGACATATTTTCCCCATCATTTTTCAATTTACAAAGAGATGGGGGCAACAAGACAAAAGAGACTAAAAGGGAACCCCTGAAATTGCAAAGGAGCAAAAATAGAGTGATCTAATGTCTGCTGGAAACACAGCTATTTCAGGCCATCTAGTCTCGGTGCTGTATGTAAGATAGTCCTGGATAAAGAAGAGACACTGAAAGGCTGAAACCCATCATTTCCCCTAGAAATTCCAAGATGCCTGATCCTGAATCCCTTTTGTGTTTTGCATGGCAGGGGCTGGAGCAAAAAATGCAGGAATCCGGTTGTGAGATGAAGAGGGCTGTATGGATCAAGCAACTTAAGATTGGATGGCAAAGAGGGATCCGGCTGAGGAATTGACAGAGCCTGGAAAAGCTTCAGTGGAAACAATTAGAGAAGGTGGAACTCTCATCTTTGCCTTTGAGGGAGGGTGGATGGGAGCAGCATCCGGCTGTTTTGCTCCAGGATTGCATATTTGTGCCTGGGAGCTTTTTTGCTGCTGCTGCTGCTTCTGAATTTGCCCCCACTTTTGGGGGGGGGCAGCTCGCTCGCTCACTCTATCAATTTTGCCATGTTCAGCTCTCGAACTTTGCTAGAAGGAGAAAAAAACTAAAAAAAAAAGCCTTATTCTAACAGCAACAGAGAATTACTGCAGTGATAAATCAAGCGCTGCTTTCCTGGCTGCCTGCCTTATTATCAGGAACAGAGATTGAATGGAAGTGCCAAACCTGAACAGAAGATACCATATAAATCAATTCTTCTGTCCCTTCTGGAGCACAAAAAGCAGATTGCCCTCACTCTATGACTGAATTTCACTGCCCCAGAGAGCATCTTTGGGGAGGTCAAGGGAACATGCTGACTCTGCTCCCCCACTTGTAGGATTTATCAGCTGGCAGGGGAAAAGCCTCCTGGTTTCACCTGCCAAGATCTTGTGCCACAAACTTAACTGACAAGGAATGATGTTGCAACAACTGGCAAAGGTGTCAGTTTATAACCCAGAAGCCTATCAACCAGCCCAAGTAATTGTATTTAACTGAACAGGACGAAGGTGCATTGGAATGTTTTACTTCTCAACAAGTGGCAAATCTTGGGCTTTTGTAGCACATGAGAAGTCATTTGCCTTGCCGTATCTGTTGATAATCCAACCTTAGTGATTCATGCTGGGGAGGAACACAGAAAGCTTGTTTTCTGCTGGGTTCCTTTATCCTAATATTGTTGTTACGGACCAATAACGATTCCTCAGATTCTCAGGCAGGAGATTTTTCTTAGATCCCTCTGGATGCAAAGCAGGTGCCCTACCATCAATCCATTCTTCTCCAATTCTTCAATCTGCTCTTCTCTTCTATTACTTTTAACTGTTTTGAAAAAATAAATGAGTACCATGCAGGAAACTTCTAAAAATGTTTTCTACTGGTTCTCATTCCATTAGATGAAAGCGAACTTGCCTTCAAAGGAAAAGAGAAAGTGAAATTCTCATTATTGGAATTTGCTATTCTCACATTTATTTAGCGATGAAATGGACAAGAAATGAAATGTTCTGTTTTTCAATGGCCAATCAGTCCCCCTGGTTTCCCATGCTTTCATTAAATCCCAAGGGAAAATATCATTAATGGTCTCTTCCCAGAGTTTTTGTTTTGCAGGAATTTTTTTTTTAGATTTAGGGAGTTTCAGACAGCAGGAACATGGATAATAGCAAGAGGAGCATCCTCCACCATCTCCAACCATGATGCCAGCTTAAAAATATCACCAAGAGAAATACAAAATAAATTCTCAAACACACTGAGATTAAGATCGGAAACAGAATCTCCTTTCTCAGGCACACAGTTAGCACAGTGTAAAATTAAAAGCTGAATGCTATGATTAGAGCTTGAGTTGGAAAAGTGCAAAAGGCATTCTGGAATCCCAGATGACCAAGGAGATCTGCTACATAGACCTACTGTCTTTGCAATGGGGGGAAAATATATTTCTCTTGTCCTGTAATGGAGCACAGTTAACATCCAAATATAGTTTTGGATTCCAACAAATGTGATCAAGGGAAGGGACAGGTGCCATTACCTGTCAAAGCTCTGTCAACTTCCTTCTTCGATAGCCCAAAGCAAAAACTGTCCACCGCCACAGCCAGTGCTTGAGCAAAATTGGCATCCAAGAGGAAGGAGCCATCTGAAGAGCTGACCAGACTGCAGCGAGTGCTGGTTCCATTGTCCTCTGAGACAGAACCCCAGCCGTTCACCAGGGAGCCTCCCAGGGATGCCTCGTCTTCACTCAGGCTGGATGAGGGAGTCTGGCAGGAACTGCGGAAGAACTTGGTGGATGAACAGGGGCCATCCACCATGTTGGGGTCGTCATCTTCATCCAATGCATCGTTTTCCAGCAGTTCAATGGCCAGAGGACCACAGATATAGCCATAGGTATGGGGTGGAAAGAGGACCTGGGAAGTCATAGAGCCACTGTCATCTGGCTCCCTTGAGAGAAAGAGGACAACGCTGGCATTAGAACCTGAATAATAATAATAATAATAATAATAATAATAATAATAATAATAATAATAATAATAATAATAATAATAATAATAATAATAATAATAATAATAATAATAATAATAATAATAATAATAATAATAATAATAATAATAATAATAATAATAATAATAATAATAATAATAATAATAATAATAATAATAATAATAATAATAATAATAATAATAATAATAATAATAATAATAATAATAATAATAATAATAATAGCAGCAGCAGCAGCAGCAGCAGCAGCAACTTCAACAGCTGCAGCAGCAAATGAACAAAATTAGGACAAAAGAGTTCAGCAGCATCTGATGAGCAAAGGAACTAAATGTGTTTCGGCACTGATTACCGTTTCTAAAAACAGCAAGAGGATCATGATCGGGGCTGTAGCAAACGGTGAGAGGGGAATTACAAATGTTCATTCTTGTAGCACCCCGAGGAAAACAAGTTCAAACTGCTGTTTGCTTTGAGTGTAATTCCCTCTCCCTCCTCACTGCACCAGTGGGGCGCTCCTCCCCACCCCCAAAGCAAACAGCCGTTTCAGAATATAGTAACTGCTTCTGAAAATTATAGCTGGAATGGAAAGAGTTCTAGGCAAGGAGACCAATGCTCAGGGGTGTCCCCAAGGTGGGGGTGAAAAAAGTTAAGATGGCAGCCATGATTGTGCAATTGAAGCTCCACCCATTTTTATGTGCATCATAAAATGGGCAGAGCTTTGATCATATCATCATGGATGATATTTTAACATTTCTGGCCACACCAGGCGGTCTTCCCTGGCATTGCTATGGGTTTCCCTCCTAGCTAAACCTATGAAAGAATCTTTCCAAGAGCATGACAAGCTACAGTATCCTGGAATTGGGCCAAAAATTCCATTTTTCCAGTGAAGGGGAAATAAAAGGAAAATTATATTCTTTGCCTTTTTTTTTTTTCCTAAAAGTAACAGGAGAATGGAAGTAGGTGAAGTTCTTCTAAGTAGGGTCCAGAGTTCTGCCACTTCCAGACATGGCCAATGGATGTGTCCGGAAGTGTCGTGTCTTCTCCTGTCCCATCTTCTTTCCAGCAGCCTAGAACCTTCCATTAAATCCTAAGGATCAGAGGAGATGCCTCCTTGGGGGCTTCTCAGTCTGGGAAGAAGAGGCAGCCAGAAGGAGGACACCAGTGATAGAATCACCTGAAATGCAGGGAGGAAGTGCCAATAGTGACCACCACCTCAGACTACAGAAGCAGCTCAAAAACACCTCCACAAATGTGAAAGAAATTAAGTACCCTAGCAAGAATGGTCCCCATACATACAACACATCACACAGCATGACAAATATAATCGGTTACAGTTTGGCTTCTAAGAGGGCCTAAATGTCTATAAATACTGCAAATTAGCAGGTGTAGAAAAAGGGGGAAGTCAGAAAACGAATAGTTTTTTAAATTATTTTTTTCTTTTCCTTTTTTCTCTTTTTCTCCTTTTTGGTATTTTAATTCTTGTTAAAGTTGCTCTGTTCATCTATTTTTTTCCCTTTCATTAACATGTGTATATATGGGCGTATGTCTGTAATAATACAATGGAGACTTTAATATTAAGTAATTAGCTTAAGATGCAAAGCTTTATTATATAACAAATACTTTGATGCAAGTTGCAGCAGGGTTTTTTATACTCAACTTTGAATGAAAAAGCCAGATAATTTTAATGCTTACAATATTGATATCCTAAATTGTAATAAATATTGATAGAATATTTTTTCTCTCTTCTCTATTTTCAGTACTCCAAGTTACCTAAGTAATAGAATGCCAAGAATCTTTAATTACATTATATAAACACCACTGTCTTGAAATAATACAATGTATCAAGATTTATAACAACACCAGAAAAAAAAGAAAGAAAGAAAGAAAGAAAGAAAGAAAGAAAGAAAGAAAGAAAGAAAGAAAGAAAGAAAATAAATAA